GGTGGTGGAGTCTCCTTCGCTGGAGATATTCAAAACCCGTCTGGATGTGATCCTGGGCAATATGCTCTAGGTGACCCTGCTTGAGCAGGGAGGTTGGACTAGATGATCTCCAGAGGTCCCTTCCAACCTAAACGATTCTGTGATTCACACAGGAAGAGTGCTATCCCCGTCATGGATATCCCTGTTGGACCTTGCACATAAGGTGCTGTCCTGAGGGTGTGCGCCTCTAGGCTGAGGTGGAAGACTTGAGTTGTGGTTCAGGCACACCTGGGATCTCAATGTTCCCATCTTTCTTCTGTAAAATAGGGGTACAGGTGAACCTATGGGGAAAACAGAAATATATTGAATATCTATGAGGTGTTAACAAATAAATGATCAGTTTCAGACAGAACAGACCCTTACAGCAAGATCTCCTATGTTGTACCCTCTGGGGGGGCATGTGTGAAGGGAACCGTCCGCTAAAATATCTTTGGAGGATGTAATATGTCAAATACACTAGTTGAAACTTCAGCAGGCATTGCTTGTGTGCTCCATGGGTATTGTTTTCCTTTGTTTCAAAAACTATGAACCTCTAATGAAATAATTGTATTCTTCATCACAGCTTCTTTATAAATTAAATCATAAACCGTGCATGATTAACAATGTGTAGCTGCAGTATTTAAGGGACAAAGATACAGCACTGGGGTTTGCAGGGAACCTCTTCTGTAGATTGAACAGCTGATCACACTTTAATTTCCCAGTTTAGTATATGGTTTTTGATTTAAATTCTCTCTTAGCAAGTTGTTAGCAAGAGATGGTCACCAGCATTGGTTTCTGGTGATAGAAGAATCTGCTCCTCATATATTTTTATGATATATTGAGAAAAGCTTCTATTCTGGGGGAAACAAAAAATCATTCTTATGAAAGTATTTTCAGAGGTGGCAATCCTAAATAACGTTTGAAATGGTAGATATTCTATGAAAATGGCCTCTGAGAACCATCTTTTTTGCTGTCATAGCGACTCCTCAGCTATATTCCTCAGAGAATCACAGTATGCAACTATAGTACCAGTGAAATATTTTTTCCTATTATTAACTTATTATTATGTTGGTATATGTGTCACAAAGTATATTTAGAACATACTAATTGTTTGTTTGTTATTAAGTCCATTCATTTGCCTCGTAAAAGCTGAAAGCAATTAAGTTTTATTTATCATTTTGACATATTTTATGCCATCTATGTCTCTGTAGCAATTTAATCTTTTAAATATATTTTGTTTAAAATTAAAAATAGACATTGAGCATATAAGTGAAAACCTGACTTTGAGCTGACCTCCTTTCATTTATTCTAAGGAGACTTAGTTGACTTAATTAAATTAAAATATTATTATAAAAGAATGGTTATGGCAGATAAGAAATAGTAAAAAGGATTTTACACTGTATAAGCACTTTATTAGAAATGCAGTGACTGGACATTGTGTAGATATACTGACTTTTATAAAAAGGAAGACATTTATTTTTAAAAAAAAGAAGAGCACCATGCATAGAAATAATTACCAGTTTAGCCAAAATGGAATGTGCCTTTGCAGATTTCACTCACTGGACTGAAATATCACAGAGGAAGTAATAAAACTGAGATGTGTTACATCTGTACTGGAAACATCTGACACGTTCGTAACACATTGTGTTAACTTGTTTATTTTACTAATTCAGAACTGTAAGGAGCAACCTGTGGCACCATTTATATGGCTGTGACTGGCAAGGTGTACAAGTTCCATAGATTTTGAGGTGTTTTTTATGTCGCACTATTGCAGAAAGATTTTCTTTATTTTTTTAATTTAATCTTCTCCATAGTCATTTTGCAATATTTTAACTCAGTGTCATTGTAAGTGTGGCCTGCCCAAAAAGGGACCGTTAAATTCTCAGATAGGAAAAGTCTTATTTTATAATTCAAGCGTTCAAGAATGTAATGTTATAAAGTGTTAATCTCCATTTCTACTTTTTATTATATGTATGAAATTAGACAGAGTCATAAAAATTAATCTGATATCTGAGAAGCTAATGGAAATCTTGGGGAGATTTGGGCATCTGGAAAGGGCTAAGTGTAGGTGAGTTTGGTCACCCTCCTGTTAGTCCGTAGATCGGACGAGTCCATCTGTAGCTTAATCTCTAAAAAGTGATTTAATTCCACTCTCTCTCTGCGCTGATTATCGAGGAAGCCCTGAAGAGATTCATTTCTGTGAATACGCTCTCTGTTCTCTCACTTCCATTTCTTCAGTTATGGTCAGTTCTTCAGTTGATACACACTGTCAGTATGCTGAATTGTACAGCCTTGGTTATGAGCTGTGCTTTTTAGGCCTGTGCTGTTAAAATTTTAAGGCTAAAATTTAGAAAAGTGGTCATATTATACTTGCAAAATTGTCTGAGTAGTTTCTACTAAATGGCTACTCCACCAAATCGCAATTCAGGTGTCCTTTGCGACGGGTGGGATGGGAACCTGGGTGACCTTGGGAGAAAAATGGCAGGAATTTGCAGTGTTACACAAGCTTTAGCAAAACGTTATATAGAAATTAAAACTTTGACCACAGCCCCAAGCTTGTGTCATAAGCCTTTAGGAAGGCAGACCATACCTGAGGAGTAAATAGATACTCTGCATCAACTTTTTTTGATTTGGAGGAATTTTTAGTCACCCCAACAGTAGTATTGGTGAATACCTTGAAAAAGTCTGAGCAGGAGCACTGGATGCCTTGTCTCAGCATGGGCAGAAATCGATGCACAGTCTCCAATCCGTAGATCAGAGGTTTCCAGACACTTTGTCTGTGGTACTCACCTTGATCTTATTTGCCATGGTATCCAAGGCTTTATGTCACTAATTGGTTAAATTCTAATCCAAGGTAGATTAAAGGGCAGACAGCCAGTAAGACAGATGGACTTTTTCTTCACTTTTTTTTTTTTTTTTTGCATCAAATGTCACAACTGTGAGGTTGCTGTTAAATCAATGAGATATTAGATGCCATAACGTTTATGTTCTGTTTCTGTCATATAAATATTATACAGAAGTTGGACTGTGTGCGTCTTTGCAGTACCTTCAATTCATTATTGATTTTGTCTTCAGTTAAGATTAGAAAGGTTTTTCTCCTTTGGAGTTTTGGGCAATCATTTGTGTCTGAGGACTTCCACGTGTCTCAGTCTCTTGCACCTTTATGGGCAGTCAGCGGAGCCTCATCAGATCTCTTTCCTTTTGCTTCACCGAGCTCTCCCTGCAGTGAGCACTCAAAAGAAATTCAGTCATTTCAATGCTTTGTATGGTCTAGGAAAACGAAAATCCATAGTATACCTGTGGGGAGTATTTGACAGATGCTAAGGTACTTCAGAAATAGGATATAAGTATATCTATCAGCAGGTAATATTCTAGGTTTATTTTGGTGGTACCTTAGTGGGTTCCAAAAGTGCCTTCAGCTCAAGGCTGGACAGATGGAAGACATGCAGGAATTAAAGCTGGGCCATATAAACACAAAAGTGTTCTTTATTTGTAGTCTTTACTTTGCTTTTAAAGTTGAATGACTTGTTTTTACTTTTTGTGTATGATAGAAATTTCAAAATAACATGTTAATATGGCTAGCAGGGAAATGACTTTACGGGAGATTTCATTTATTTATATTGACTGAAATTTAGTCATAGATATGTGATCTTTTGAAGAAGAAATTTTCATAGAACTGACAACCTGCATTGTAAAGAACTGAAAGTGGATTTCTTGTTTTGTTTTTCTTTTCAAAATATGAATCACATTTTAACTCAGGGGAAGAATACCTTAATTTCATGCTTTGTAAGTGCTAACTGATGACTCTAGTGACTGTTTATGTACAAAAGTAAAATTAATAAATTCTTATACGTGCATATATATGAGCACCTGCATGGATGTATGTTTTTTATGCTATTTAGAACTATAAAAAAGGAAGACGTTCCAGCATTTAATAAGTGTGCTTATTTGTAACACTCATGGTAGTAACGTGCTGCTCTGATATGTCATTGTACATCCAGATGCTCAAGAAAGTTGGCTAGCTTTTCTTTATTTTTTTTTCTGAATATTGCTGATGGAAATTTCCGGGAGGAAAAAAGCTTTTCTAAATGAAATGTTAAGAAAAGTTTTTCTCCTGAATATCAACCAGCATTAGTTTCTAGGGGGGATTTAGCAATAAATGCGTTTTTCTGTCCTCTAAGCACAAAATCTGGGATTAATTTTGCTGTGAAGTATCTTTGGGTCTTAATTAAAACTGAAATTACTCCTCCTGGTAAAAATGCCCTGTCAGACAATGCCTAAGTATCCTACTCCTCTTAAGAGCTCTAATATTAAGTAGGATGAACTGCAAGTATGCATCCAGTATTTTAAGTTAATAAACACTTGCACTGTAGAAGGATGGGGACAGTTAGGAATGGAGTTTGTTGTGCTAAATGCAGGGAAAGTAGGTGAGTTTTGAGAGTGCTTTTATTATATTTTCTTTAAATATGATGTTATAACTGATGCAATGATAAGTGGAATAGAGCTATTCATGAACTAAAAGACTGGCTTGTTGCAAGAATTGATGTCATAAACCTAGGGCAGAACTGGACTGAACTAGTCCAGGGTCACAGAGGGCTGCCGAAGCGTGGCACCTTAGGCAAATATCGAAAACGTTAAATTTATTATCTGCTGTTAATAAAGTTTAGCCATTACATGATTTATTTTATTAACGTTGCCTTATAGATCATGCTCATGCTTATTTTCTGTTTCTCTTTTCCCTCCACCACCGCTTTAGTGGGATTGGTCGAAATTGGCCATGGGCGTCTGGTGGCAGCAGCATTTTGGCAGAGTTTGGAACGTTGCACCTGGAGTTCATACACCTGAGCCACCTGTCTGGAAATCCGCTGTTTGCCGAAAAGGTTAGATTGCTCAGGAAAAATCATGTTCTAAAGATAAATCATGTGTTAGGAGATTAAATATACCTGCAGACAGTTTTACATTTTTGTATTAGTTAGAGACAAAGACCTGTTCAAAAGTTACTGTGATGCATCGTCTTGTATATAGCACTTACCATAACATGTATCGCTTTTGTTTGTATTGTAAGTTAATATTACATTAAACAATCAGACCATGGAGCTTTCGTCAGCACTTTTCCTGAATGTGCTGAAAATAAAAATGAATAAAAAGGAATGTTATATTGGAGATAATGTGTGATACTTGCAGAAAGCAAAGGACCATGACTACCTTGCTGTCATTACAGTAAGTTTTGTCTTTAAAATGGAGGATGACATCATTGCCTTCTATTGAATTTTCTTTTAAAAAAGGTGCTCCAAACGTTTTTTGGAGAAAAAAACAGAACAAAACAAAAAAAACAAGACAGTTGTAATGCCTGTTAATCCCCCCTGCCCAATTCTCACCCAATAAATTTTGCTTTTTCTTTTTGGTGCTTCAATAGTATGTGCTTGATACGCTACATCTGTTCTCTCTCTCTCTTTCTCTTTCTCTCTCTCTCTCTCTCTCTCTCCTCTCTCACTTTTCAACTTGGACTTGTTTTCATTTTGTAGTCTTGTTTCAAATAACCCACAACACATGCATTCTGGCCCATCTAAAATTCACATTATCTGTCTAAAAATCTAATAATACTGATATTCCAAATTTTAGTAGTTCTAAAAGCAGTGATCGAGTCTAACATGCATAGCTCTTGTACCAGCTTAAAGGACTGAACAGCTTTGCTGAGATTTGTGGTTTGCAGTTGTCATGGTCTTCGTTCTCCCAAGTTGCTCCATTTACCTTTTCTGTGAATATTAAAATTCAGTCTAAATTATTTCATGTGCTGTGCGACGAACTGTGCTAGTGCATGAGTCAAGCTGCAGAGCATCTGGACTGTGACCGTTTCCCTGGGCCTCCCCTGTGCAGCTGGTTCCCTCAGGGCGCCTGGGCAGAGCTCAGAGCACAATCAGCTCTTTCTGGGCAGGTTTGCTGCATGAAGCCCAGTTCCAGCAGCGCTCTGCTTTCCAGTCGTAACAGCTTTCCAGTTCACTGCTGTGTCTAAACTAGGTGATGGGCTTAATATGTAATACCATTTCTAGTTTGGATATATGAGGGATGTAATGCTGAAGCAGCTGCGCTTAGTTAGGGCACCTAACCATTGCCATGAATTTCAGTATCCTGTGGGATATCCTGTATCCTGTGCAGGGTGTTCTGGAGCTTGCTTCTAGTGTCTTGTCTCCTTACCAACCCTTGACACAGAAACTCGGGAGGTTTTACGGAGCTTGTTTACATGGTGACATCAGCTGAGAGGATCTTTATCAAAAATCATGTGAGTGTATAGAAGTACTGTGACACACAGCACATGTCATGCTATTTTTATTTTCAGGGATATTTGCACTTTAAGACTGATGCTGTTTTATTTTTTGGAAAACTAGATCCGTGCTCAGTGTTTTGTACCCTTCTAACAGGTAATGAACATTCGAAAAGTTCTGAATCGACTGGATAAACCAGAAGGCCTCTACCCCAACTATCTGAATCCCAGTAGTGGCCAATGGGGCCAGCGTAAGTAGACCGATTCTTCGGAACTATGAACATATCAGTATGCTATTTTTAGACTTTAACTTCTTTCTATCCCTGTTATGTATTTTGTTGATTTCTCACATTATCTCTGAGTTTTTGTATAATACAAAATTATTGCACATTTTAAAATAATAATTCAATTTGCTGCATTTTAATGTACTTTTGATCTTTCAGTACGGCTTATGTAAGTGGGGAAATGTCTGAATATGTAACCTTTGTAGTCTACAAAGTCCTTTCCAGAAAGTCTTTTATGGAAGAGTCTAAAATGCTCTCTAAACCAGCTGTTTAAGGAAACATGTCCAGCTTATTTGGATCAGCTTCCATGTTTTTAGACTAGCATAGCCCGACGGACAATAAAGAAGTCTTTCCAGTTGATACTAGCTGTGAGTTCTGTTGAAGTTTAATGCTGTTGGCAAACAATTAAGGAAGCAAACTGAACAGAACAGTGATGGCATTAATTCCCTTGGAGCCATTATCAGACACACCAAAATTAGAAGGGAAAGGGTATAATAAAATGCTTTGAGCACTTGAACTCCTTAGCTCCATCCTGATCACTGACCCTTTTCTTATTATACTTTACAACAGCGTTATAGCATGCTGAAAGCCTACAGTAGTGTCCAGGAGCGGATATTTCTAGGGACTCTACTTCTTTCTCCGCTTTTCCTATCTACTTTCAGTCTAGCACTATCCCATTCACGTGATTTCGTGTTCTTTTATCTTCTTAACCTTTTTCCTCCCTACATAGTTCAAAGGAAAACAAGCAAGATAGCCTGTTTATGCTGTCTTGGTCTGAAACAAGTCTGGTAGCTGAGATTGCTCCAGAGTTTATTAGTGGCGGAGTTGGTTAGATGATACCAGAAATGAGACGAATTTAAGAAGTTCTTCAATGTAATAGTTTGCTTAGGATGTACTTAAGCTGAAAGTGAGGTTTTGAAGTCTATATGGGACCGGCTGCAGTCTGGATATATTAGATTAGTTTTCACAAAGGCAAAGGACGAGTGCTCTGCTGAATAAAATATTTTTTTGAATTCTGTATATCACTCTGAGATTAAAAAAAAAGTCCAGAAAGGCTGTGATGCTCGGTTGCGTTGTCCCATTAAGACTAAGGCCATTTCCTGTATGAATTAGAAGTATCCCCTTCATTTAAAAGAAAAAGTGATCTGCTACACTTTGGGGCTTCTTTGAGGTCGTTGTGCCACCAGGCCATTGGCAACTCAGTTTGTGTGACCACTTGACTCCAGTTGGCCTGTTTATACGAGCTGTGTTATTAATTCCATTTACAGATCTAAAAGATATTTGCCCACTGCTTACCTGTGTTGGCTTAGCATGGCTCTGTAAAACATTAAAACTTCCCATTGGAAGCAAAAGGCACTGGATTCGGTTAGAAGGCTCCCACAGAGTGTGTGAGCCCATGTTCAACCAGTTTCAGCTACCCACTTCCTTACTTTAATCAGCCACAAAAACTCAACATTTTGGAGGTAGGTTAGCCAACAACTTCCCCAAGTAGAAATTTGAATCCAGTTACCTTATTTCATGCAACAGTACTGAGAGTGAACAAATGCATGTGGTTGAACTGGGGCATTATTTGTCTGGCATTAAGCTTAGATGCACAGCCTCGCAGTAACTTATTTGGTGAGCTGAACGAGAGTAGTTTTCTTCCTAGTGGTTGACACCGTTAGTGGCTCTGCCTTATTTATTTTAAAGCAGGCCAATACCAACTCAGTCTTATGGCCTTTGACATTTTCCTGTTTTTAATATTATTGTCTTATGCACTCCTCTCTCACATAAAATTTTTGTTGGTATGCACAGGAAAACTTAAAGTTTATATCATCTCTGTTTTCCAATAGCATGTAGTATTGCCATAGAAATTAGCTTTCTGCATGTGCAAGCTATGAACACAGGCATTGATGTGGGTCAGTCCCCAGCGTGCTGAAGCAGCAAAAGCAAGTTTGATCTTTAGCTGTTGCAGCTCTTTGAGTTCAATTGGCTCTGCTTGAAGATAATGATCTTTTTTCGTAGCAGAAGATCAAGAACGTAAGACCTGAAGGGTGTTTTATTTGAGATTGCTTTTCTAGTCTTTTTCTCAGCTGATTGCAACAGAGAAAAAAAAAAAAAACCCAGACTCTTAATTGGTACAAGACAGAAGTATTATCTCTCAAACATCAAGTGGGGAAGGGGGAGCAGTTCCTGAACATTACTTATCTAACAATGCTGTAACTGTGAAGGACACTGCTGGATCACTGCCACTGTTCCTGTAAATTCATTTAGTCCTTGTTATTTTGACAGTAAACTGACAGTGATTTGCTGCAGCATGCGTCAATTGGATTTGTCTACTGCAATAATGTATATAATAACAGGGCTTATTATTGATGAAACTGTGCTTGTGCTATTTAGTTTGCAAATGTCAGAGGTTTCTATGGTAATTTATTTAGGAAACCGTAAAGGTCATTTAAATGCTGCTGTTCAAAGATCAGCCTTCCATCATAGAGAACGTTCTCATTATTTTAAGAAGCCTCTTTTCCTTTTGAATCATGAACATTTAATTAAATAAATGGTGTGTTCTTTCCAGAAATTTAATAAATCTCATTCAAAAGAAGAGGAAAAAGAGCTATTTATAGTCCAGGTTTGATGATACAATGTATTTGTATGGTGAGGGGAAAGGATACCTTTGGAAAATTAAATTGTTGTTTGTATGTTACGGGCCAGTGAAAGGAAAAAAACACTGGTAGTCAAGATTTAATTGAAAAAGGTACATCTTCTACGTTTGCATGGCTTTCCAATCCACGCAGTAGGCAAAAGGATGTATTCCATGAAGAGAAAATACTAAGGATTTTAAAAATAAATTCTCTATGTTCTTTTGAATTTCACCAGCAGAGGCATAGCTTTGGAACTAAGTTCAGAGTTAAATGTTAGGAAACATGAGCTAAGCCATGGACTCTCAACTAACAAATCTGCATCTCATTTTGTCTGTTAGCTTGGATCACTCCATATGCGTTCTCCTTTTCTCATGCCCAGAAATTTGTTGTATGACTCACTGACTTGCTGCACAATATATGGTACCCACATCTCTGTCCTTGATTTCTGAGATGGAATTAGTGGAGCCCTTTCCCACTGTAAAAAGGACGGTTTTAAACAGTAGTCCTGGTGAAGCACTTGGAAATCCTTTCACTTGAAGACTCGATAAATGCCAAGTACCTTAATTTTAGCTGACAGTATCAACTTAAAAAAGGAAATCTTTAGCTGGTGCTCTTAGTTTAATGGAGTTTAAAGAAACAATTTATAGTTGTAACATTTTACGTATTTAGAAGATCTATGCTAAAGTCATATGATAGACCACTAAAATTTTACCAAGAATTTTTTTAGCAGCAAGTTTGTGCCAGCAGCTAAGATCATCCATAACTTCCACGTGAGTGGTCTGGCTGACATCAAAGGGCCTGGCTTGCGTGTAGTTATTGCTGATAGTGTCAAGTCCTAAATGTATGCAGTTGAATAGTCACAGCATTTATAGTACCAGATCATTTCATACAGTAAGCATAGGGCCGTATAAAGGAATGTGATAGTAATATCTCATGTAGATGTAGTGGAGTTGATATATCCTTTTTTCTCCAGAGCCACTGCAGAGTTCTAAGACCACCTAGATGTTCAAAAATGTAATTTTTTTTTAAATATATGCACTGGAATTTGTCAAATGCTATTAAATAACCTGAAGTTCAACTCCGCAGTAATTGGCTAAAACACATTGGCTTTTTAATGAAGTGACTTAAATGGAGTTTTAGTGAATAAAACAATAAATAAAATCGGTGCCTGCCAATTGCGAGGGAAAGAATTTGTCAAATTAGAGAGCATTTTCTACTTTGTTTCCTGTTTTTAAAAGAAAAAGAACTTAGTTTAACACATTTTTATATGGGGTAAACAATCAGCATGAGCTAGATGCTAAAATTATGAATTCTTAACTTTCTTTGCTATGAACTCCTGTGGCACTATATGGATATTAAATAAATATGATGCTTTATCCTGCTGAAAAAGTTATCAATTAGAAAAGTTTTTTCTTTGTATACCAATAAAGATTTTTTCTCAGGTTCCAAGATTACACTTACTACGAAATTGCTGTAGGACAAGGATGTTTAAATGCATTAATCTGCCACTGTTTCAAACCACAATTGTATTTTATTGCCTAGACTGAAGATAAAACTGCTGTTGAATCTGTTCCCTCCCTTCTTAGATCACGTGTCCATTGGAGGGCTTGGGGATAGCTTTTATGAATATTTGCTCAAGGCATGGCTGATGTCGGACAAGACGGATGAAGAAGGCAGGAAAATGTATTATGATGCTGTTCAGGTAAATGAGATATTTAAATCTTCCTTGCCGTAATAATCTAATCTATAATAATCCTACAGACACAGGCTCTGGGGACAGCATGAGAGATTTATGTCTTTGCTACCAGAGATAATTCTTCTTTAAGAGACAAATACTGTTGGAAAGGAGAACGTCTTAAAGTATAGCTCAGTTTTCTTGAACTGAAATACAGTCAGTCTTTTCTAATACTGGAAGTGAAAAGTATAAAATATGCAGCAACAACAAAATATCTTCATGCAGCTGTCAGATAAGGGTTCAATTTTTTTTTCCTCAGTTTTTGCATAAATAGATACTTTTTGTCTTTTTCCCTATATCCAAGAAGGAATTCCTCTATTTTGTGTTTCCACATTATTTCAGTCAATTTTGATTGTGGTCAAAAGAGGGATCAATATATTATGGTAGATAATTATAAATGAAAATAGAAGGTTGTTGCTGTGCAATCACCTTTTGTTACAACAAGAATATATTTTCCAGCTTCTATGAAACAGCCAATTGTTTAAATTGGACATGAGAGAAAGTTTTCAAAAATTGGAGTTTATCATACTTGCATTTCGTGTGATCTTTTATTTATGATTCTTCTGATTTGCAGTTTGCTTCGTTATTGTAATTTCCTTAATATACTGTTTCTAGAGAAATAATGTTTTTCTGACATTTGGCTGATACTTGGGAAGTATTAAGTTTAAATCCATATTTTAAGGCTTTCCTTGCAGTCTTGGGCAAATGACCTATTTTCCCTATTCTTTGCTTTCCCGTGTATAAAAAGGATAGTTTTACTTCTTTTTATCCCCGTCCTTTCATCTGTTTTGACTGTAAGCTTTCTAGGGCCAGCACTTTTCTCTGTTGTTAGCTGTATGTATGCACAGAGCCGCTGTAGACAAGGCTTCGAAATGCTAAGCAATATCTGCTTGCTCTTACATACATCTGGAAATACACCATCCCTAGGGAGACACACAAGTCGTCTTTTACTTCCCACGCAGCAAAAAGTTATGGCATTAAAAAAATACAACCCTGACTCATTGGGCCTATTTTCTTTCATTAGAGAGAAAATTCACGTGATGATTTGCGGGAGAGTGTATTCTGTGCAAAAAAAATCCTGCCTTTAAATTTTGTAAGTGAAGATTTGAATTCAGTGAGCCCCATTGTCACTGCTAACATGGTTTCAGCTTCAGAGCAAAAGGTGGATTTTTAAATTAGGCTTGAGTACATTTCAGGCTATAGCATAAGAAGAGTGATATTGTAATAGCCCAGCCGTTAGGTTGGCAGCCAAAAAGCGAGAACAAAGTGTCTGGTAAGAGGATATCACTTCATCTTACTATGGCAGGCATTTTCAACCACCTGAAAGCTGCTTCTAGTCTAGAAGGCTTTCCGTGGTGTAATAATGCCAGTTTTTCTTTTAAATACATTCTTAGACAGGATAAGAGCTAGTATGTAGACATGTGCTGTAACAAATGAGGGATTGCTAGTACAGCTATTCTAGAAACTCTGCAGGTGGAATATCTCTAACACCGGGGGCCTCTGACCCTTGCTGCCAGGACTGTAGGTACGCCATGTCCTGCCCTGCCGGGGATCAGGAGGGGCAAGTAAATTCCAGCCCATAACAAAGAGTGAAAGATCACCAATTGTCTTGATGGTTGACACTTGCCTACTTTTACTGAGGCTGAAGGTTCACCTTCTCCTGGCTTCAGCAGAGCTTTCTTCTGCCTGCACATGGGTGGTGGTGACACTGATCCATAGCATCACTTTGTTGTCCCCTGTCAACCTTATCCAAGGGTTTGAATGTAGGCTTGCTTCCTCGGAAGAGAAGAAATAGATCAATTAAACCATACAGAGAAATCCGCACGGGAACAGTTTTATCCTGATGTGAGTGGAGGTGTTGGGCTGGCCAGCACGCTTCTCAAGGGAGGTGAAGTAAGGTGAATCAGAAAATCTCTCCTGTAGGACAGTACAAGCACTCAGACAGTTGAATCACAAGCAGTTTAAGGAGTCAGCTGCATGTCAGTAGCATGCCTGGGTCACTCCTGAACTAGCCCAAATTGTACAGTAGTGCGACTTAGGTGAAGAGCTCCATTGCATTACCTGGTCATGTGGGCAAAGGGCCAGGAACGGCCGCACAGCTACTGCTGCATGTTTGACAGGCAGGACCCTGAGCTCCCAGGTATGTCCACCCGGGCGGGTAACTGCACAGCTTTGTGTAAACTCACACCTTAGCTATGTCAGGGTAATAACCTCCTCGTGTACGAAAGCTGTAACCATCCCCTGCAGGAGCACGCCGAGGTCTCGGCAGGGAGTGGAAGCTGTGGTCTCCAGCAAACGGCTCTGCCAGTTCTCCCCGTTGAGCCGTTAGTTGAGGGAGCCGAACTGCATGACCAGGAGCAGTCACTGAATGTAGCAAAATCGATGACAGGGCTTGATCTCTGCCTATATATAACTAGATGTAATATACCTGCTAGCCTTAGTATTTTGTACTAATCGCTCTTAGATGGTCCAGGCATCGTGTCTTTCCAGAATGTCAGTGTTTGACAGGATCAAATGATCAGTATGTGCATGAGTACGGCTTCACCACGCTGCTGTGGAGCGTGACTTCCAGTGTGTCCTGAGTAGCGGTGTTCATGTTCTCAGTTTTCTATACCAATATATAGCTGTACTAAAGCTGAAAGTGTACGTGGAGGTACAACTTAATGTTGAAATGTAGCTAGTTCAGATTAGAAACAGCAGGGAGGCTGCAGTATTCATGGCGTTTCTTGCAGACTCTTTGGGCCTAATTGAGATGCTGGGCTCTTCACTGAAGCAACTAGCCTGTTTTGAAATCCATGCTAATTTTGGCTTTCTTGCTATTGATCCCTTACTTGTCTAAATTAAAGCCAATTTAAGTGTATGCGCAAGCCGCAGTCATTCTTTATGACTCCAGCCTACACATTTGGGGCATTCTTGAGTCTGCTTCACATTTTCTTTCTTCTGATGCTTTCAGAATCTTTTTAAGACTACACCAAAGGGAATAGCATGATTATTCCTATCTGTTCTGTCCAGCATATACCCACAACATTCTAAAATTGAGACGTAAAGATTTGATGCCTAATTCAATATCTTCTGCTGTCCAGAAACCACAAATGAAAATATATGGTGAGTTGCCGTTCACTGTGAAAAGCTGAAGTTTATTTAGAAATATTTAAAGCTTCAGGAATATTTCTTACTCTGTTCAGTAACTCATGTTAAAAGCAAAGAATTATTAGAGTTTTTGTAACATCCGTAGATTGTTTTATGGCTTAAGTTAAAAGCAATAATTAAGATGTCAAGCTATATTTAAAAACTTTTCCTGTTTGTTACGAGTAAGGGGTATATTTGGCTGATGCTCAAGAGTTTATTTCTAATAGGAAAAAGGATAGAGATATTCTTGTTTTGAATACCAGAGCATAATCTTAATGTATTTGTAAGGCAATTAGAGAGATTCATAAACTCCAGCATGTGCACAGAGACAAGTGAATGTATTTCTAACACAAGATTTTTTTTCCTCTTTTGAAAAGCAATGCAGTATTTTATATGATGTCCTTTGTTTCCCATAATTTAGGAAGTAAGAGTACTTGATCTTCTTAAACTTGTTAAAAAAGCGTGCAGCATTTAGTTGCAGAACACACATTCACACATGTCTTCAGCTTTGTCATGTTAACCTGTTTTGAGAATGTTATTGGTAGCAGAATAAACTCTCAGTCTTTGCAAATATCGTGTACAGCAACAATTCCACTGTTGCTTTGGTTAACACAGATGATCTGTGAGGGACAATTGAGTAGTTCAGCTTTGGTAAGATAATATGATAATTTAGAGCAAAAATGGACCTTTTGAGTTCATTTAAACCTAGTCTAGCAACAGCAATGTCAGAAGCAACTGCCTCAAATCCTCTCGAGTCTGCTCTCATTTTAGAAGTTGCAGGGCGATTTTTCCACTACTCCTGTCGATCGGTTGTCCCACGCTCTTGATGCTCTGATGGTTAGTTATCTTTTTCTAATTTTCATATTCACATGCATTCATGGCTACTGCTGCAAACTTTCTTGATCTTAAATATTTCTTCTCTCTCTCTCTCTCTCTCTCTCTCTGACACTGTCTCCATCCCTTCCTCAGTGTAGTGCTAGAGAAGTGGCATATCTAAAAGCTCTAAAGGAAAGAAGTAATTCACCCCAGGGGAACTTTGCAGAAAAAGAGAGACTCCCTGACCAGTGGTTCCCAATCACCTTTGTTTAGTTCAGCCAGGCAGCGGTAGCAGAGAGGTAAAGCAGCTGCCTTTCTGCAGTTTTACCTTAGAAATGGTAGATTATTTTCAGTCACCTAGATTTTTCTTAATTTTTCTTATCTGGTAGCAATTGCTCAGAACATGGTCACGTGAGAGCTAGTAATCTCCTGACCACCTATGGGCCTGGAGGTGGAAACAGTGGAAATACCAAAAGAATAGGTGGTGTGAAGCATTAGCACGGCTGTTCTCTACCGGATCTCAACAGCACTGCCAAAAGCTAGACTGTTTTACATGATTAAAGAATGTAGTAAAATTTTGTGGACATTAAAGAAATAAAAAGCCATTTTTTTGGCCTCCGAATTGTAAGTATTTACGTAGAAAATACATAGAATCTCTTTTATTTAAAATTTTTTTTGCACGTCGCTACCATTTGAGACTAGCCTTGATATAGTTAGTTTGTACTTGGCTGTGGGAAGCTGGATGTGTTTGTTTTTTCTTTTCTTTTCTTTTTTTAAGGAATATTTAACTGTCAGCTTTGGGTAGTGAATATTTTTCAGAGCTGTAGGTATTTCAGCCTTTCAGATACATAAAACGAATCTTTGCAGAGTCCTTTCTCATTGAAATGAGGGAGAGAACAAAGTGTTGTTAGCAAAATGAAAACATGATATTGGCAGCTAGGCCTTTTTTATCTCCAGAGTTTCATAAGGATATATTTAACTGTGGTGACAGTCTGGTGGTTGGTCTGTGTTGACTGCAGTTC